GGGGCTCTGTATCAGAAAAAAAAAAAAAGATAAATGCTAATTGTATTATTTGAAATGAGACAAGGAGAATATTCGTCCCTTGAAAGAGCACTGATAGTATATTTTATCTAGGCCAAGGTGTCCCTTTGTTGGATCTTAATCATGAATACTTCATATTATTAAAACCAGACAGAATTCAAACTAAAATACCTGAAATGTCCCTTTTTCACATCATTCACAACTCTGTATCCTGCAGTCTGTCATGGTCCTGCACTTACCAACAGGCTCTACAACCTCTTTCCCCGGGCTTTCGGGTGCCTGGCTTCAAGGCCAGCCCTGTGCTGAGAGCACAGCTCTAACCTGACCTCCAAAGGCTGGGACCCAAAGGCTGTTAGGAAGCAGCTGAGGTGTGACATGGAGCACTGAGGGCCTCCACTGCCTTCTTGGGGGTGCATTTGAGCTCAGGTCCTCATCGCAGGCCTGGCCTCAGCCAACTGTCCGAGCAGAGCAGGACCCCAACACGTACATTAAAGTAAGTCCCTGCCAGTAGCCAGTACTACCCATGGGCCAGCGATCACCATGCAAGTCTATAGGCATGAGGAAGGTGTGAGGCCAAGCTGGGGCACCCAGTCAGCAAGCCAGACTCAGCAAGGCCCAAGGCGCAGGCCCGGCTGCCATAGAACTCAGGCAGGGACCAAGGTGAGGGCCTGAATGAAGAGGAGGAAGAGGAGGCCCCAGTAGGGTTTCTCACGTAATCCTTGACATTGGCTGATCCCTGATTACACAGCCGGGCCTTATCAGAACTGGCCTTGAGCACAGGCTGCCCAGAGGAGGAAAAGAGCTGGTAGAGTCTGCGCGTAGCACACTCAGGTGCCTGGAAAGGTCATACATAATGCATGCCAATAAATAATAATTGAAAAAAAAAACCCTTATGGTATTATCTTTTAGAAAGCATGACTCACTATTACACACATTTGATGTCTTCTGGAGAATCAGAATCAGTAGTCAGAAGCAACAATATCTTCTGTTAGGCTGAAGTTTTGTGAGACAACCCAACATCAGGGTTCTCACTGGAGGAAATTCTGCTCTGCAATTCTTGGGTTTGTTTTTGATTTTCTTGATTTTGCTTTTGGTTTTCAAAGGAATCACAGCAGAAGCTCTCCAGTAAGAACACTGATGTTGGGTTGTTTCAATAGTGACTTAATTGGTAATACAGTTAATACAGGCTGCGCTTACCTGGCCTTTCTCTCCTTTGCCATACAGCAGGGCTTTGGATTCTGTAGGACTGTCTGGCCCGATGCAAACGCAGGCCACGTGGACCAGCAGCCTCTATCAGAAAGCTGGAAAAGCTTTAGAAAAGGAAAGAGCTCAAGATGGCTTAGGTCCTAAGAACTCTACAGATTTGCAGCAGAGAACCCCAACAACCCAAACAACACGGAAACAGCCGGCTGATGTCTCACAATGCTGAGTTAATGCAACTTTCTCAACATGCAGTGAAACACAAGGAAAAACATTTTTTTGTATTCTAAAACTGCTCTCAGCCAGGACTGTCCATGCCTTAAGACTCAGTTGAGCTTTTCTTGTCCTTTGAAGAAATATATATAATTCAGTATAATATAGTAATATAATTCAGTAATCCAGTCCCTGGGTATGCCTGCTGTTCACGCTGCCTAGGCTACAGGATTGTGAGAAAGCGTTCTCGCTTTTGCATGAAGAACAGTGCCTCGGTCTGTGCTGGGACCACTGAAAAACAAAGCATCACATCAACATCAGCAACGTGGTTTAGTTTATATGAAAACCAGAACAGGAGGTTTGACTGAGGTCTCATTTCTGCTGGGTGTTTTTGCTCTGGGCTGTGTGTCCACATATGTGCCCATAGTGGGGACGCATTTGGTTTGGTATCTTCTGTAGACTACCACTTTTAAAGGCAGTTTGGCGAACCTGTGCAAAACACATGACTTGTATAAGTGAAGAAGCGAAATGCAGATAAGCTCTGATGAACAGTAAAAGGAAAATGATAGATTAGTTAATTTTCCTTGAGAAATTATGAGTTCTTCTGAAAGCAGAATCCTCTTGTTGACTTTCAATCTGTTAATTAATCTAATTTGGAATTTTGTCAGTATATTTGGGGTTGTAAATTGGCTATGCTCTACTTTATCTTCATTGTTATAACTATATAATCAACACGGGATTATCCAATAAAAACAGGTTCCTGTTAAGTGTGAGCTTTACAAATATATATATATAATGTTATATATACTTTATTTGTATATATAATAGATACGTATTATATGTAAGGACCGTTTGACTCCAGATGTTTGACTTTCAAACCCATCTTTCAGGCTTGTCAAGCCTTGAAATAGTTAAACACAAAACTTCAGTATTATAAATGGCCTATGGCAGTAAGGAAGGAGATTATATTAGAAAAATAGTAGGATTTTAATGTGTTGGTCCTTGAAAGTCTTCTGTACAATGAGAAAAGCACTTAGAGAACAACCCAGTTCTACAGACAATACAAAACTTTAATTTCTTGTACTAATGCAGTACGTGCAGCTTGTTTCGGAAGTGGCACACTCCTGGAAAAAAATCAAAATGCTAATGGAAAAAAAATATATATATGATTTTTACAGCTTCTAACCTCTCATTAGGCTATTGGTATATGTGTTTTTGGAATTTGATTCCTTCTAATTTGGATATAGTTGTTTCAACATACCAGACTCCTGTGTTTACTAAGACTGACACATACTAGGGAGCAGATGATCTGTAGGCTACTAGTAAATAACTTGTAGTTTCAGGTCTGATTTTTAGATATATGGGTCAAATCCTGGCTTTAGTAATTCCCATACAAATTAGCTAAAGCTTGGATGTTTCGCTGCAATACTTCAACTCACTGGTGTCTTCTGTTTCTTGGAAGGGGTGTGTTTCAGTCTGTTGAGCTGTGCTTGGCCGTTTGGAGTCTCAGAGGAAGGCGCAAGAGAGGTCCTGTGCCATGGCAAGAAAGGCATATTTCAAAAACAGGCAGAATTAACCAAACACATTGCTATACTCATGTTTGAAGATGTGAATCTGCTTAATATACACCCAAATAAACAGGCAGCTGTGAAGTGCCTGACAAATGAAACCAGCCAGGAGGGAAACATCTGGGAAGGGACTGACTGGGTGCACAGATCTGGGGTTTATTTGGATCGCGCTGTAGTGCAGCTCAACTCGGCTATTCGGTAACACGCTGCAATGTTTGGTACTTTCCTCATTCACCCAATAAAAGGAGCCATTTAATTTCCGGCCTCCTGAGGGGTTACGGTTGGAAACGGAGCTGGAGAAGCTGCCTGTGGCCCATGAGTTAAGAGCCGGGATTTGGGGACCCCAAATGGCCACAACGGCAGCAGCCACACAGGACAGAGCAGCTACCAACGAGAAGGAGCGGCAAAGCCCGGAGCACCCGCAACCCACAGCGACAGCCTGGAGCTCTGTCTGGATTAAAAACTGGTATGTGTGGAGGGATAGGGCTTCTAGGAGGCCGGCAGAGGAGCGCACGTGTATTTGGCGGGGGGCTTGGCGTTGCTGTGATTCCATAGCAACTCCCAGCTGAACCTGCGGGTGCCTTTGCTGAACGTTGCCACAGCAGGAGCTCGTTTGATGCCCTGAGCGGCAGCTTCGCCCCGCGGGAGCGCAGGGCCGGGGCCCTCTGCTACGAGAGGGCAGAGCCGAGCTCGGCGTCGAGGAGCGGAGCGAGCGCCGGGCTGCGCGCGGGCCCAGAGCGGGTCCGCGGGCCCCCGGCCCCCTCGTCCTGGGTTAAACGGGACTTACGGTTGTTGGTTAAAGGGCAGCCCTGGGTTGTAGCTCCAGGAAACGTGGGAAGGCAGCGGGGCAGCCCGGCGCTGCCCTCCCACCCCTTCTCTTCCCGCTCAATGGATTCTCCTTGCGCCAGCACTAACGCTCACGAGCCCCCTCAATAAACCGGGTTAAGTCATCAGCCTAGCACTAACCTGGCTCAGGTTTGGCTTTCCAAGCCTCTGTGACACTGAAACGCCACAGAACCACCCCCAGGAATGCAGGCCCTTCTTAGGGGCCTGCTGTACCCGCCAACAAGGCTCTCCAGAGCACAGTGCCGCAGCCAGAGGAAGCAGCAGCAGCAGCTCAGGCCGCGAGCCCGGCCACGAGGAGGTCCTGGAGAGCGGGGCATCTGCGAGCCGTGCCCGGCGAGACCGAGCTCTGCTCGGGACCCACACCAGGGACGCCCTGGGGCAAGGAGCAGGGGGAGCACAAAGCGGCCAACGATCTGCCGGGAAACTCCCGATCCACAGCAGACTGTTAAAGCATTTAATAGCTCCCATTTGGGGATGGGCGGCACTTGTCACGCGCTCACGAGGAGGAACGGAACGGAACGGAACGGAACGGAACGGAACCGCCCGGCCCGGCCCGGCCCGGCCCGGCCTTACCCGCGCGCCGCCATGGCCGCCGCCGCGCGCGCTGTTTACACGCGTCGCCATGGTGACCACCCCCCCGACTGCCCCCGCGCGCCGCCATAGTTGCCCCAGCAACGCCTGACGCCGCGGCGCGGCCGCGAGCGCCGCGGCCCCGGCGCCCCGC